ATTTTAAGAAAAAAGAAAAAGAAGAAAATAACAGGAGAGGAAGAAAAGGGGAGTATGTCAGAGGGGGAGACGAACCATGAGAGATGATGGACTCTGAAAAACAAACTGAGGGTTCTAGAGGGGAGGGGGGAGGGGGATGGGTTAGCCTGGTGATGGGTATTGAGGAGGGCACGTTCTGCATGGAGCACTGGGTGTTATGAACAAACAATGAATCATGGAACACTGCACCAAAAACTAATGATGTAATATATGGTGATTAACATAACAATAAAAAAATAAAAAAAAAAACCATAACATTTGGGACACCTGGCTGGCTCTGTCGGTGGAGCTTGGGACTCTTGAAATCGGAGTTGTAACTTTGAGCCCCATGTTGGGTGTAGAGATTACTTAAAGATAAAGTCTTAAAAAAACATAAAAGTTACCATCTTAATTTCTAAGTGTACAGTTCAATAGTGTTAAGTATATGTTCATTGTTGTGAGAAAATCTCCAGAACCTTTTCATCCTGCAGATCTAAAACTCCACCCACTGAACAACAGCTCCCCATTCCTCCTGCTCCCTAGCCCCTGGAAACCACCAATCTACTCTCTGTCTCTATGAGTTTGATTACCTTAGACACTACATAGAAGTGGAATCACACAGTATTTGATTTTGTGACTGGCTTATTTCACTTAGCATCACATCCTCAAGATTCATTCATGTTGTTCCTTTTTAAGGCTGGATAATATTCTCTTGTATATGGATACAGGGCATTTCGCTTATCCATTCATTCGACGGTGAACATTTGGGTGGACCCTTACCTCTTAGCTATTGTGAATAATGCTGCTATGAATAAATAGCAATGAACATATGGACAATATCTGTTTGAGTCCCTGCTTTTAATTCTTTCGCATTTATGCCCAGAAGTGGGACTGCTAGATCAGATTTTTAATTTCTGGAGGAACCTCCATCCTGTTTGCCATAGTGGTTACACCGGTTACATTCCCAGCAACTGTGTTAATCCTTCTGATTTCTCCACATCCTTGTCAACACTTGCTCTTTTCTGTTTTTGTTTTAAATTTCTTTTAAGAGCCCCAAAGGGGTCATCTGGTCAGTGGCTCCCAAAGGTCATGACTTCCTTTCTTTTTCCTTAAGATTTTATTTATGTATCTGCGAGAGAGAGGGACAGAGCACAAGCAGGGGGAGCCGCCGGCAGAGGGAGAAGCAGGCTCCCTGCTGAGCAGGGAGCCCGAAGCGGGGCTCTATCCCAGGATCCTGGGATCATGACCTGAGCTGAAGGCAGACGCTTAACTGACTGAGCCACCCAGGCGACCTAGACTTATTTTTTATTTTTATTATTTTTTTAGATTTTATTTTTTAGAGCCATTTTAGGTTCATAGCAAAATTGAGCCAAAGATACAGAGATTTCCCACAGATGCCCTCCCCCCACATGCACAGCCACCCCCACTATCAACACCTCCGCAGAGTGGTGCGCTGATTACAGTTGATGAACCTACATTGGCAGGTCGTCGCCGAAGCCCAGTGTTTACATTAGGATTCACTCTTGGTGGTGTCCACTCTGTGGTTTGGACAAATGTAAAATGACATGCATCCATCATGATAGTATGATCCAGAAGAGTTTCAGTGCCTTAAAGAAATGCTTTATTATTTGGGGGGAAAGAAAGGCAAGAATTAAAACAGTGCACTTGACCCTTGAAAAACACGGGGATTAGGGAAGCTGACCCCGCCCCCATGTGGTCAAGAATGCGTGTATAACTTTTGACTCCTCAAAAACCTAACTACTAATAGCCTACTGTTGACCAGAAGCCTTGCTGATAATGAACAGTCGATTAACGCATACTTTGGATGTTACATGTATTATATACTGTATTCTTATAATAAAGTAACCTAGATGTTATTAAGAAAATAATAAACACATTTGTAGTACTGTATTTATCGAAAAAAATCCATGTATAAGCGGACCCGCACATTTCAAACCCATGTTGTTTAAAGGTCAACATGTATATGCTAACATTTGTGGTTTTTTTTGAAGTGGGAGACAGAGTACATATTTGGATTTGCTTGCGTGTGCAGAACACAGCTTCTGGAAAGGCCCCACAGAACCTGGTGACAGCAGTTCCTTGTCTACCCTTGCGTGGGGACAGGTGGGGGACTCAGCAGATGGGAGTCAGGGGGTGGGGGAGAGGAAAACTTCAGTTTGTCTTTTCATGTGCTTTGATGGTAGAACCACGTGAATATATTACCTATTTAGAACTTAAATAAATACAGTGTAACAATTTTAATAATCTGCTTTTCCATTTTATTGTAATTCAGAGTTGAAATATGCCCCATCCAGGCTTCTGATGTTGACTCCCTGAGCTGAAAGTTGCCATCTAAAGGCAGAGCCACTCAGGGCTCGAGCTGCCGTGTGACCTCCACGTGCCCAGGGTGGCTGGGCCACAGTCCCTTGCAGGACTCCTGTCCCCGTCTGGCCTACATCCGGCCCACTATGCCTGGGCAAGCCCCAGCCCTCCATCTGCTGCCCGAACAGGCAAGCTGCTCCCCCACTTCCTGCCAACTGAGCATCCTAATTACACGTTAAAACTAATTGCCTGTGACCAGAATCTTCCACAGTCATAGACGTTAACCAAAGTCACGCCTAACGAGCCTCACCGTTAATTATCTGTGCTTGCTGCTCCAGGATTTAATTAAGCCTTGGCAGGAAAGAGCAATCCACATAGGATGAGGGGGGAAAGAGAGCTTGCAGCAATGCCCTCTTCCCATCAGGTGGTCTGGCAAAGCTGCTCCAATTCCTCCTCCCAGACCTCCGGGATTTTCCCAGGGAACAGGCAGAGATACTGAGGAAGGGAGCTTGCATTTGTCCAGTGCTGGCTGTATGCCAGGCAGAACCAGACGCCGTTGCACACTCATCTAATCCCCGCAGTCACTGTGGAAGCTGGGGCTGCACTTGATGGGTGAGGAGACAGAGGCTCGGAGAGTCCCGATCACTTGCCCGGCAATTGGCAGAGCCAGGTCTGAGTTGCGAGCTCAAACATTTCCACGACTCACTGGAGGAATGGTTGGAGGAATGGTCGTCATCATATATTTTATTCTAACCTTGAACTTGTGTCGTGTTTTTTCTTTCTCCAAAGAAATCCCAAGCATTGTTTCATCTTAGTCCCACATTCGTTTGTTAAGAAAACAAAAAGTTGGGGCGCCTGGGTGGCTCAGTCAGTGAAGCGTCTGCCTTCGGCTCAGGTCGTGATCCCAGGGTCCTGGGATGGAGCCCGGCATCGGGGTCCCTGCTCATCGGGGAGTCCGCTTCTCCCTCTCCTTCTTCCCCTCCCTCTGTTCATGTGTTCTCCCTCTCTCTCTCTCACACGCTCTCTCTCTCAAATAAATAAAATCTTTTAAAAAAATAAATAAAACAAAAAGCTAAAGTAGCTGAAACCTACAGAGAGTGTGACGCACACCAGCCACATACCCAGGCCTCATGCTCCCAGTGTCATGGCAGGAAGGCAATGGAATGGTGGGTAACAGGGTGGCCCTGCGCCCCGACTGCCTGGTTCCCGTCCCGGCTCCATTACTAGCGGTGATGCGACCTTGGTCAGGATACTTGTCCTCTCCACCAATGGTGCCTACCTGTTGGGAGATTATAAGGACTAAATGATATTCACATCTACCCCTTAGTACGGGGCATGGCGCCTGGGGGCTGTCACTGTGTCCTCAGCCTTCTTCCTTTAGAGTCACACCTCACTAGCTTGTCGTTTTTCCTTCAAAGCCACTTCGATTGTAAAAACTGGGCCCAGTGATTCATGATTCCCTGCCCTGCCTTTTGCAACGTGACAAGAACATCAACAGCATTCACTTGGTTGCTCTTTTCCTGAGTCTTCCTGCTAACATGATCTGATTTTATAAAACACATTCAAATAATAAATATGAAAAATGTTCTTTCTGACTATACTCAACCTGACCAATAATCAAAGAAACAAATGCTCAACCAATGAGATACCGTGCTCTCTGTTGGACTTCTAGAACTGTTCTCTCTCCCTTTTTTTTTTTTTAAGATTTGTTTTTATTTGAAATAGTGAGAGAGAGAGGAAGAGCAGAGGGAGAGGGACAAGCAGACTCAGCACTGTGTGTAGAGCCTGACGCGGGGTTTGATCCCAGGACCCGGGGATCATGACCTGAGCCAAAGGCAGACGCTTAACCGACTGAGCCACCCAGGCGCCCCATCTGTCTTTTTTATTCTAACATTGCTGGTGAGAGTGCACCAGGAATTGGATTCACATCTGGTGGGTGGGTAAGCTGACACTCTCTGGTGGGCAATCAGCCAACTTGCAGAGAGAGTCTGAAAAGTGTCTCTACCCTTTTACCTAGTAATTCCACTCTAGGATATATTCTCAGCCACTCATTCTCAACTCAAATATGTATACACACACAGAGCTTTCCATCACTATGTTATTTTGAGTGGTGAAAGGATTCTTTCTCTCCAAAACACCCAGAATGAACAGAATGGTTAAGTTGTAGTCCAACCACCCAGTGGAAAGCTAATGAAGCAATTTAAAATGGTGGTTAGCAATTTAAAAAATTGTTATGGAAGATCCTAATGTTGAGATTGTTGCTTCTAAATCCTATCCATTGAAAAGAACCAAGGGGATTTTTGCAGAAATGGCTGATTACAGATCCAGGGCAGGGAAAGTCCCAGGTTAGACTGGCATATCTTGGTGTGCCACAAAGCAAAGAACTGCTCCACAATGAACGAGGGCAGGTGGACAGGACATGGGAGCTGGCTGAGAGGGGCTCCCGCCAGCCAAGTCTGGGGCAATCTAAATACCAACAGGTAGAGTGATGAGAGTGGATTTTATCACACTGAATGAAAAACAAAAAGAATCCATAAGTACATAGTGATCAGATTAAAAAAGAGAAGTGGAGGGAAATAAAATGGCCAGCTAACAATGGCAGAAAAAGGATGAGAGATTGAGAAAAATCACCATTCTGCAATATAAAAATTCAGACAAGTATTGTCAGTACGTTTAATTAAAAACCACTGTTGGGGGATAGGACATTTCCATGGTCTCAAGGTACCACCTCACAAAACAGTTATTACCAAAAAAGGGGGGAAATATGTCTTTATGATGGAGAGGAACCATTTTAACCAAGTGATCAAATATAGCATCACCAACATTGCGTGCCTCAATGACATAACACCACCGATACAGTATTCTTCCGCAAAATATTAAACCTGAATCCAATCATGAGGAAACAGACAAATCCATACTAAAGGTAACTGGCCCATACTCTTCAAAATATCAGTGCACCAAAAACAAAATATATATATACATATATGTAATCAGTGCACAAAGGACAAATGAAGGGGAGGGGAGAGCTGTTTTAGATTAAAGGGATTGAAGAGATAGGTTAATCTGGTGCAATCTTGGATTGGATCCTGGATCAGAAAAAAACTTACAAAACAGCTTACAAAGAACATTTTCTGGACTCAGAAAAATGTGAACAGGAACTGGATATTAGGGAATATCTTTGCACAATGTTAAGTTTCTTGGATGTGTTAATGGTATTGTTAAATAGGACACTTTCTTCCTGGATCCCAGCTGAGATATCCCGGGATGAAGTGTCGTGAGGTCTGCAATTTACTTTGTCGTTCAGAACAAAAACAGGTAACAGGTGGGACAAAGTGTTAACAGTGAGGGGATCTTGGTGAAGGGCATGTGGATATTCATTGTGTTACTTCTTCAACTTACCTGTGAGTTTAACATGTTCTGTGCTGATTTTTAGCAACATTGGCAAAAATTGCACGGCAGGTATTTATGACAATATTGTTAGATACTGTTGGGACATCAAAGTATTATATAAAGTTGCATAGACATGTACATATACAAATATGCAGGTACCCACGGTGAACGGTCATTACTTTTATCATTCAGCTTCCATTCCACCTGCTGCAACTAGCAGCACCCTTATTTACTTTTGGAGCTCACCCCTCCCTCTCTTGGTTCATGAGGTTTGGATGTGGGCCTATAAACCACAGCCATCTATCCCTGGGGATCGGTGGGCACATGTCTTCAGTTAGTCCAACCAGAGCCAATGGACATCAACCCCAGGGCTTTTGCTGGACCTATATGGTAAAAGGAGTACTCTTTTTCATAGAGGTTGTCCAGCTGATGGGATGTGTTGTGATCTTTGTATGGGGAGTAGCTTCCTGTGAATCAAGCTGACACTAAAGAAGAACTAAAAAGATACCAGTTTACAGTGTCTGAGTACCTGGATTTAAATGTGCCTGAAGTTAGGCGAACCTGTTGATTTCCTTGTTGCTTATACCAGTTTGAGCTGGTGTCTGTTGCTTGCACCCAAGGAGTCCCGACCACTACAGTATGGAAATGCATAGAAAAGTATACTAGCTTTCTATCCCAATATAACCAATTACCACAAGTCTAGTGGCTTAAAACAACACACGCTCATTGTCTCACAATTTCTGTGGGTTAGGAGTCTGGGCACAGTTTAGTGGGGTGCTCTGTTCTGGGTCTTACAAAGCTACAGTTGAGATGTTGGCCAGGGTTATGGTCTCAACTGGAGACTTGCCTGGGGAAAGAATGTACTTCCAATCTCCTTCAGCTTGTTGTCAGAATTCATTTCCTTGAGGTTGTACCACTGGGGGCCCCGGGTTTTTGCTGGCTGTTGGCTGGACATTGCCCACAGTCACTTGTGGGCTTCCCAACAGGCACAGCCACTCATTTCATCACCAACAAGGAGAATCCAGCCTGCTAAAAGACTCTTATATAATGTAATGTAATCACAAGGCTGACATCCTATCACTTTTGCCATGTAATGTAACCAAATCAAGAGGGTGACATCCCATCACCTTTGCCATATTCTATTGGTTAGAAGCAAGTCATGAGTCCCACCTGCACTTGTGAGGAAGGGATTACCCAAAACCATAGGCAGCAGGAGGTGAGAAATCACTGGAGATCAGCTTAGGGTCTGTCTGCCACAAAGGGGGTGAGGAGAATCCACTTAACAAGTGCCACATACCATTAAACAGTTCTTTACTATTTATGAGCACTAAAGCATCATGTGTATTAACCCATTTCTTCCAAATTTCACAGTGGTTGTCACTGGAAAGGGGCTGGATGGGGAGATGCTGAAAGGACACCAGAATGTTCTGTATACATTGGTGCTTGGGGTTTTTGCAATGAGCACGGATTCATTGAAAACAATGATTTCAACTATACACACTATTTCTCCACTTCTGGATCTTTCTGCATATACACAAGGGGTGAGGGGAAAGACTGGAAGGAAACAGGCCAAACTGTGAAGACTTATTAGTTTGGAGTGGTGGGCCTATGGGTGAATGATGTTTTCTTCTTTATAGTTTTCTGTTTCTCACTATTAAAGGAATATTATTCTAATGATCAGGGGGAAAAGCCCAAGTGATGTGAATGGTTTTTAGATCCAATTTTACAGTTAAAAATAACGCAAACCCTCTTTGTTTACCTTTTGCTGAAAGGCAATTTCCTGCTTAGGTGGCTGATGGAGTGTCTGCTCCTGGAGCTCGGAGAAATAAATCAGATGGCAGCAGGGAACACACACCTGCTTCCTCTCACAGATAAAGAACAATTAACTCTCATCAGAACATATCTGGCTTTGCCCCAGGACTAAGTGTTATTTGAAAAAATATGGCAGATTTTCTCTGGCAACTAAAAGCTCTTGGAAGGTTCTAGCCAAGATGGGAAATGGAAGACTCGGTACCAGACAGATTTGGTAAGGGGACATGTTCAGTGACCAAAGAGTTTAACCCCATGGCTGTATGAAAACAAACAAGCAAAAGATTCTATTTGATCTTATGTTTGTAACTACTTGGAGGACCTTTTGACAGGTCTCCGAACTCATTTGCTTGAAGGTAGAATGAGAGAATTGAATATGGAGGACCTTCTATCAGAGCCAACTGACCAGACCACCCCTGTGGTCAAAACCAATAAAACACAAACACCCAAAGTTGGGGCTAAGCTTGCTGCAACAAGGGAGAATATGGCTCAGGAGCCCATCCATAGGGGAGATGAGAGGGGCTTTTCAAGGGCTTGGGCTTGTGTTGGATGATGGTGAGGGCATGAAAGAATCAGAGCAGTTCTGGGTTTGGATGGTCTCAAGAAGCAGGGGTGATTTGGTGACTGAGTAGCTCAGTGATTGTCTAGAAGGGGAGTTAAAATGGGGTCTGAGTTAGTATGTGATACAGAAGCAATGGCTCAGAGAGGAACAGTGCTTGTCTGAAGAGGGGAGGTTTAGTCATTTTTGTGCTCCCAAGAGTGGCCTTGTCACCATCTTGCTCTAGGAAATATGGTCAACTGGTTGTCGGCAGGGTTGTTTCCTACTTTCTCAGTCCATCCCAACTTTAAAACAAACACACCGCCCAACCAAAAAAACTAACATTTGAATACATCTTCAACTTAGGAAATGCTCTTTTTACCTATGGGGAAATTCTGTGTGATTCTTTCCCATGTCTCCATTCTTAAAGATGTGGGAACTGAAGTCAGAGATGTTTAGTGGCTTGGCCACAGCCAGGTAAGCAAGCCGGAAAGTAACAGCATCCAATTCTTAGCTTCGTATTTCTTCGTTGTCATACATCACTGTTCCTCCTTTGTCCTAGTTTCTGAAATTGCACCCGTTCTGGAAATCGGCCACGCACCCTCCAAGGCTCTGAAGACACCACTGACACAAGACAGGAGTACCAAGCGTGGAGTTCAGCTAGAGTGATGGAAAGTGAAGAGGCAGCTCCGTTCCGCACCAGTGTGATGAGTAGGAACTGCAGTGTGCTACGGGAGCTTGTAACCGGCGCAGGTGGCGGGGGGGGGGGGACCATGGATGTCTGTTGCCACTGTAACAAATGACCACAAATGTAGTGGCTTAAAACATACAAATGACTTTTTACAGTTCCAGAGGTCAGAAGTCTGAAAGGGGTCTCACTGGGCTAATATCAAGGCCTTGGCAGAGCTGCATTGCTCTGTGCAGTCTCGAGGGGAGACTCCGTTTCCTTGCTTCTCCGGCTTGGAGAGGTCGCTTGCGTTCCTCGGCTCATGGCTCTTTCCCTATCTGCAAAGCCAGCAACTGAACTCCTCTGACTTCTGCTTCTGCCACCACATCTCCGTCCGACTCTTCTGCCTTCTCTTTCCATCTTCTAAGGCCCGATGTAGGATTGCTGCGTAATTTAAGATAATCCCCCCGTGTCATGATCCTTAACTTACTTGAGTCTGCAATGTCCCCTTTGCCATAACGTATTCACAGGTTTCAGGGATTAGGACATGGGCATCTTTGGGGGGCCATTATCCTGTCCACTATAGGCAACCAACCTCCATCTCTTTTCTTTTTTGGAAGGGAGAGGGAGGGAGGTGTTTAGACTTCGTAGAGAAAGTGGCATTTAAGCTGATGGCAGGAGGGACAGGGGGTAGGAAGGCAAGTGTCGTAAGCACAGGGGAGGTCTGGAGATGGAGAGGAGGCATGGTGCATTGGTGGGTACATGTCAGCAATCACTAGGTTATGTTCCCCAACAACCAGCCTCCCAAGTCTCAGGGTCCCACAGAAGCAAAGACTTACTGCTCATTTAAGCTACATGTCCCCCGTGGACACACTCCATGTCTGACTGTGCTCCATGTCATCATTCTAGGACCTAGGCTGAAAGAGCAGCGCCTATCGGGGACATGCTGGGCTCACGGCAGAAGAACGAGGAGGGGCAAAACCACATGGTGATGCTCAAAGCTCCTGCTTTGGGATGACACATATCCCCTCCACTCACATTTCACCAGCCAAAGAAGTCAGTTTATAAGGCCAGGACTGACATCGGTGGGACAGGAAGTAAAATCCTCTCAAGGGAAGGGGCTGTGAATAATTGGGGAGGATTGAACTGAAACGGTCCCAAGAGACCGGAGGGCAGAATAAGATGTGTGATGGGGCTTGAAGCTCAGAGGCGGTGAGGACCAGACCATGCATGGCTCCGATGTGCATCAGTTTCCCTTGTTGGGGTGCAGGCTCCACAAGGGCAGGAGCTGGGTCTCTGCCTTATGGTCCAGCCCCGTGTCTCCCAGCCTTTTCTGTCCTCATCACTCCCTCCATGAAATCTCAGTGCCAGGTTGCCTGGTATGCACGGCATGCACACCTGGGCTTTACATACGCAAACGGTATTTTTGCCCTCCTAAGAACCGATTTTCACCCCCTCGGTGAGCTTCCAAAAATTGAACCTGAGTATCTTTCTGCTTTCAGAAGTCTTCTCCACTGTCTTTTGGGAAGGTCCATTAAGCATGACTGAAATTTCCCTGATGATTAAAGCTCTTTACTATGCGCAGCTAGGACCAGCAGTATCCCCGGGTCACCTTTTGGTTTTGTATTTTAAATACTTATGGACTTTCTCCTTTTGGGGAAGCCCTGGCAATCTGCCCAGTCTGAGCCCTCAGCACTGTCAACGTACCCAGCTAGTTAGTTGCTCTTCTTTGGTCTGGTTTTAGGAACCAGACGCACTGCATGAACGGGACAGATGCTGAGCGAAGGTCTTGGAGCACTAGAGGAAACGTGCAGGAGCTTGGTGCTCTGCCTGATGCAGCCAGTGAAGTTCAGTGAACGTCAACTCAAGGCCAGTGATGGGCCAGGAATTGGTCTAGGCACCGAGGATACAACAGCGGATAAAAACGGGCAGTCCTCGCCCTCTGGGGATCAGAGATGTCCAAAGACATTGGGGTTTCTGAGGTCTGACCGTGCGACAGCGGTGGTGCCAGGAAGTGAGTCATCCTGCGCTTGGTCAGTCAAACCGGGGAACGTTTGTCTTCAGCTGTACTCTTGGATTTCATTTCATTTTTGTTTGTTCTTGACTTGAACAAACATGAAGAGTTAACAGTGAATGTGGAGACCGAGAAGTTATGGGGGAATGCACAAATTCACTGACCTGGTATTCTTTGTAACTACATAGAAAATGTAGTCACCCGCCTCAGGTTCAGCCTGTCTTCACCGCAGCAAAATGGAATCTATACTATTCATCATTTGCATCTGGAGCAACTGTAGCCTGTGGATTTCTAAAATACAGATTTTTTGAAGTTTGAACATTTAGAAAAGAAATTTAAAGGAATTGGTGGTTCAAGGTCAGAGGCGGCTACTAAGGAGAAACAAAAGGCTTTCACATTCCAAGCCCTCACCTCGGGCTATAGGTCGCTACCACACCGGCCACACTGCTCTCTTCCCTCCTTCTGCTCCAGCCACCTTGGCCTCCCCGGCCTCCCCAAGCCTGCTTCCATTCCAGACGCTTTGCCCTTGCGTAAGCTATGTCCAGGAAGCCCAGTGGGTTGTGCACGGCCCACCCCTGCACTCAGGCCCCGTGCCAGGGCCACTGCTGCAGAGGACTCCCCGGTCCCTTCCCCTACCTCTCTCTCTACCTTCACATTGTTCTTCCCAGCATTTATTATCAAGCGTCATGTTACGCATACGTTTGGTCTGCCTTCCCACTTAAAGGTAAGCCCCACCAGGGCAGAGACTTGTTCCCTGCTACTCCCAGTTCCTAGAAGGGACCAGCACACAAGGCACTCATAATTTGAATTACTCTGTAGCCTGATTATAGCTTAAAACTTGACCACTCACTTTTTTCTTTGAGACATCTTCTATGAATAAGGCTTCTGAAGGTAACATACTCGACGCTGACATGTTCTTATAAGAAAAAAAAAACTTACTTATTTTGAGGTGTTTGTGTGTTTCAGTCTTAGAAGTGTGAAGTTCATTTATTCTGTGTTCTTCTCACTCAGGAAAGAGTTAATAGGAATACTAGTTAAACATGTTCAGCATAACCACTAGGACATTTTTCCTCAATCATTTCTTTCCTCTGACCAATCGCAGCCTAAAGAGCCTGCCTTGGGCCGTCAGTCCCTGACTATGCCCTTTGGCTTTAACAGTTCTTTCCTTCTACTTCCATCCTACCAAGGTGCCCAAACGGGCCTTTTCCAATACAGTCGGCCTCTTGCCACAGACAGCTAGCACCCCGTGAGGCATATTCGAGTAGTTTGGGTTTTTGCCTCCACAGGGTGAGTTGGATTCTTAAGGCTTCTTAAGCTGAGGCTGGACTGCCCAGCCGCAGACAGCCTATATCCCCTCCTCCACCAAACAGGCCGTTTAACATGTGTTTACAAAACCCATGCTTTTCCTTTGATGGTTTTGTTTTGTAGCAACCAAAATGGTAGCTTTTGGTAAGCACAAAGTTTAGAGAAAGAGAAATATTCTTATAATAATAAAACAATCTTATTTTCTAATTGATAGGTATGAATACAAAGCAGTATAAGAGTTCTGATAATATATGTTAACACACATATATATAATGTATGTATATTATACACTCTATGTATTATATATATATGTGTGTATATATATATATAATGTCTTTAAATGAATACACTGGAGAGAAAAGGAAAACGATTGGCTCTCATGCAATCCTTTTAATTAGGTCAAGGTTTCGTGCTGAGGATAAATGAAAGGGAACACTTTTTAAAATTCCCCAGTTGTTAGTGGCTAAGAATACTGAAACTGAAACTCGGTTAAAAAGTAACTGTAGAAAAATAATCTTGGAAACACTTTGTCAAACT